GACCCACTGATGCGCTCAGGCGTGCGTTCCTGGCCCTCAACAAAGACCTCGTCTCCATCGCAATTGAACATACCGAGAAGAGGCCCATGACCTCGCACCGTGGTTCTGCGTCGCCCGTAGTTCTGAGCAAAGAAGACCTGAACTCGGGAGGTGTTGCCACGGTTGCCTATCTCCAGGCCCAGGAGCTCTACGTCGCCAATGTCGGCGATGCACAGGCAATGCTTATTCAGTCCGATGGTTCCCACAAGATCCTCACGCGCAAGCATGATCCTGCCGAACCAACCGAACGTCAACGAATACGAGATGCTGGAGGCTGGGTATCTCGTCAAGGACGGCTGAATGATTTGCTTGAGGTCTCTCGTGCTTTCGGTTACGTCGACCTGATGCCTGCTGTGCAAGCAGCTCCCCACGTCACTCAAGTTTCTATCACCCCACAAGATGAGACGATTCTGATCGCAACAAAAGAGCTATGGGAATACCTAACACCCGGATTAATTGTCGATGTCACCAGATCAGAACGAGGTGACCTTATGCGTTCGTCGCAGAAACTACGAGACCTTGCCATGGCCTATGGCTCAACTTCGAAGATTATGATCATGATGATTAGCGTAGCTGACCTCAAGAGACGCCAGGAGAGATCGGCTCGGCTCCACAGAGGACAAAGCATGTCCTTGTACCCCTCCGGTGTCCCTGACGATTTTCAATATCAGCCTAAAAGAGGCAGGAAAGCTAAAGGCGAAGTCCAGGATTCGACATTGCACAGACTCGAGGCAGAAGTTCCCGCGCCTACCGACAAGCCCTCCATTGTCTTCACAGATATCAAAAACTCGACCAATTTGTGGGAGATGTATCCATCTGCTATGCGCTCTGCCATCAAGCTTCACAATGAGGTTATGCGACGCCAGCTCCGAAGAATCGGTGGATATGAAGTCAAGACGGAAGGCGATGCCTTCATGGTCTCTTTCCCTACAGCTACGTCTGCATTGCTGTGGTGCTTCGCTATCCAAACGCAACTGCTCGAGGTGAACTGGCCTCCGGAGATTCTCAACTCGATTTCGTGTCAAGAAGTCTACGACAAGGAAAATAATCTCATCTTCAAAGGTCTATCTGTAAGAATGGGTATTCACTATGGTGAACCGGTGGCCGAAATTGATCCGGTGACACGACGCATGGATTATTTCGGACCGATGGTGAACAAGGCGTCTCGTATTTCTGCGGTTGCCGATGGTGGCCAGATAACTGTGTCTGCCGATTTCATATCTGAAATTCAGCGTTGCCTCGAAACGTACCAAGAGGCCGAGCGATTGGGATCACTGGGCTCTGACGATACCTTTGATGACGACGCAACTGCTGAGAAGATTAGGAGAGAATTGAAATCACTCAGTTCACAGGGTTTCGAAGTTAAGGAGATGGGTGAGAAGAAGCTCAAGGGCCTCGAAAATCCCGAATACATCTACTCACTTTATCCTCATTCCCTCGCCGGTCGAATCGAATATCATAACGGCCCTGCACCGACGGAGGCTGTCGACAAGCCCGCCACCCTTGCGTCTGAGAGCGAGCTCGGCTTTGACCCGGAAACGATATGGTCTCTGTGGAGAGTTAGCCTGCGCCTGGAGATGCTTTGCAGTTCTTTGGAAGAAATGTCCGGCAGAGGCCTGCAGCCTCCCGAGACGGAGCTGCTGGAGCGCATGAAGCAGCGCGGCGGCGAGATGACAGAGCGTTTCATTTTTAATTTTATGGAACATCAAGTCAGCCGCATCGAGGTAAGATCTTATTCATCCCATATGTCATTACACAATGTGTTGGGTCTTACTAACATTACGATAGACCTGCGTGACTAGTCTTGCAATGCGACACATCGCCATAGGCGGTGGCACAATTAGTCAACTCGATGATCTACGTACCCCGATGACAGTGATTCTCGACAATCTCGCTGTTCAAATGGCCGAGCTTGAAAGATACAAGGCTAAATACGGCCCCCTTTCTGGCTCCGTGGATTCGGGAAGCAGCAGCAGTATCCTAACCGAGGAAGAGTGAACGCAGTCGCTTCTGTTTTCATTTTGTCTTCATCTTTTAGCACCCCCATACGGTCTATTCGATATAGTATATCGACTCTACAAATTGGTCCAGACCACTCCTACACCCCTACCCTTCTCGACAAAAAAAAATTAGAACAGGAAGCGGCATCCCGCTATATAACAACCCACTTTATAATGTGCTACGACAAAGATATATTCTTTTCGACGTCCTCAGAGACGTAGTATGCATCTTGGAAAACCCCTGGAGGTGAGATGCGGGCAAAACGGCGTCCTGTGGGCAAGCATTCTAGGACACTTTAAAAAAAGAAAACGGGAAAGCGGTCTACTCTTTAGAGAAATTTGTTTTGTTTTGTGTTTTTTTTCCTTCCCGTGCATTACTTGGTTTTTTCTTCTTTCATCTCATCACTCGTATACTTACACTCAAGGGTTTGGGGGATATTACTACACCACCACACTGGGGCACGGCATTTGGGTTAGGCATGCACGCACACAAGCACACTCTATTACTACTACTACATACTACTATTACTATTATTACCACCACTACATTGTATCGCAGTTACAGTCTGCATAGGCGTTGTTCTTTCTCTTGGGCCAAGAAACTTATTAGGGATAAGGAGGACTCGTGGCAGGCGCCCTTTTCGTCGATGTCGTTGTTGTTACCGTCATTGTGTAGGCTTTATTATTCAACCCTCATCTATCGCAGCAACTGCTCGTCAAATGAATGGGGAAGGAGGAAGGGGAGGAAGGATCGAATCGAACAGGATTGGATTGTAATGGACTCAAGGTGACTTGAAGGATAAGGAGGCAAGGGGAAGGGGGGTGGCTTAAAGAGGGAAGGGGGAAACTGGCTAGAAATTATATTTTGGGACCGAACTCTATATATTATTTATATATATATATATATATATTATATATCTATCTTTTGGCTGATGGAAATAGGACTTGGGATAGGTACCTGAAGAAGCCTTTTGTTGCTGTGTAGCTGGACTCATTCAGTCTTTCAAGTTTCTTTTCCAACTCTGGCCGAATGGAACATTGTGACTTGACTTGACTGGAGTTTAGGTGACCCTTAGTGAGCTAGCTACCTAGTTAGGCTAACTCCTTCAGTTGAGAAGGGAAAACAAGAAAAGGCGAAAGGAGGAAATTACACTTTAGAGTGAATTCATGGATGAAGAGTTGCGAGAATTGCATTTTAACCGAGATTTATCACTAGGTTTTCCCCAATAGTTTGAAAGTACCTGCCTACCCAAGCATAGATTTTAAAGTGGGAAGGGGGAAGGGGAAAGGGGTTAGGGGATCTGCCCTTTCACCTGTGTAAGTATGTGTGAGTGGTCCCATTGAGTTTATATAATCGAAGATTAGGCCAATAAACCCCTCTCTTGTAATATTGATACGTAAAAGGACACTAGACCAAAGTGGGGAGAATATGATATAAATATGAAGGAATATAGGTACTTGGGTACTTGATATATATATATATATATAAACTTCCTCGGCACCAAATAATAACCACCACCACCACTAAGTCCACGCTCTTATATTCCTGTCCTATATACATACATACGTATCACTCCTTCCCCTCTAAAAATTTGGGTGGTGGGAGCTGGTGGCATTGTCCCAGCTTAGTGCTCCTTGATATCTACTAACTACCTACCTACATGTATCTCCTGATAGCTACCTTTTCAGTATAATATCTGGTTTATTGACTGAAACTAAGCATATAAAGTCGTCATCAAGCTCTAGGAAGAAGAGAAAGAGGAAGAAGGGGGGGATCCCTTGGTCAGTTTTAAATTGCTAGAACGGTTTATACCTATATTGCGCACTAGCAGCGAGCCCTCTTTTCTTTTTTGGTTCATCACCGCATTGAACCTCACTACATCCGTTAGGCTGAGCTGTCTGCTGTTGGCTAGGTAGGTACTAAGGCTCATTGGCTTATAGGGGCCTTTTCTTGGTCTGGATATCTTATTAAGGGTTCTTTAACGACCTTGTCAGCTAGGCGTTTTTATTAATAGTTTTTTCTTTTCTTTTCAGTCATGGATTTGCTTTGTTTAGGGGGGGAAGGAGAGGGGGGCTGAATTGCGGATAAGAATGGGGAGGTGTGGTTAAGTGCAAACATGGCATTGATGCTAGGTCAGGTCCTTCGGGGTTTACCACCAAAATGGTGCGAGGTGATTTCTATCTTGAGCTCTTAGAGGTGTTGTTAAATGTTAGTTGTTAGCATCGTTACGGCCTAAATGCTTTTGGGGGGTGAATTTTGGCATAAATCCTGCTTCATCATGGTTTTTATATGGTATCTGAATTCATGTGTTGCCGTATTTCGTAATATTCCTATTATTTCAATAGTACTTATAGAGTTGGTTATACGATGATTTATTATTTAGAATGCCTTGGCAAAGGCAGAGAGAGGCATGTAGTACATAGTAAAGGAAATAGGGGAAGTTATTTGTGTTTGACATCATGGCCAATCATGACAGTGGTGAGCATTATTAGCACCGCAAAGCTTGTGGCTGTCACAAATAAAATGGTGATGGAAATGTGAGTAGAATAGAATATCTTGTTGGTAGGAAGATATTCTTTTTTTTGTTCTGGCGGTGGTGCTGATTTGCTGGAACATGTAACATTTCACATGAATTTTTGCACATGTAGTAGTAGGTACCTACACGATAATACCATATTCATCATTGATTTTATTACGAGTTTTGGAAGCAGATACAGACCACACTGTGTGTTTATATTCTGTGGCTGACAGTATATATATAATGGGCTAATCTAGATAGGTGTGCATGCATGGTGATGGTGATGATGGTAAATACCTATTTATGAGAACGTGTTATTATATTCCATGTGCACTATCTTCATATAAAAAAGGTCACGCAGGGCTCAGGCCGGGAATCGAACGGCGAACTTCCAGATGCTTTGACATATGGATGGGTAGGTGGGCAAAAAGAAAAAAAGAAATGCACCCGCCGGGACTTGCACCCGGGTCTCTTCCTGTCGCCGCTACACCAACCAACCCAGTTCGGCGGTTGTGTTTTGGGGGGGAAGCAGGTTAACTTCTACCCTACGAGTGCTTCTTTGTTTGGGCAGTTGCTATTAGGCCTTATATGTGCTTTCTCCCTCTTCTCTGGGCTAACAAGTTTCCCCGGTTCCTCTGGTTTCCCCGGTGAAGCAGAGGCAGATATAGATACATGTATACCTGGGCAAGAACCTGAAGGAGGGCACCCACCTGTCGTACATGCCTATTTTGTGCTTTTTTATTTCACATGAATAACTTGAGTCTTTCTAGTTGGGGTACTGCCTATTTCCTTTCTCGCCTCCATTCACTTTCGTCCTATACTTTGCCCACATCCCTTCTCCCTCTCCCCCCCCTTTTCACGCTCGCCACCACCATCGTTGTTGTCAACAGCCAACCTTTACACACGACCTCTTGGTACACAAAGTATACCTGTTGACTTCCTATATACTGTAAATTCTGACCATTACCACTGGCCTATGCACTCGCAATACAACCCTTCTTCCCAGATTGCTGACCCTCTACAGCAAACTAGCCACCGCACCTATCGCTTCCCTAGCTCTCCCTCCAAGAAATTCACGATGCCGGTTGATGAGATTTTCAGAAATCTTCCTGAATACATTTTAGAAAGCAACCAAACCGGCGTTCCTCTCAAGACAGTGCTGAAGCGGAAAAGGGAAGAAATCGCAAGAGCCAGGGAAGCCGCGAATTCTACCGAGGGAGTGGCCAATTCCGGCTCAGACCTGCGCCCGGAACCAATATCTGTCTCACTGCCTAGGTGTGTACAGGCCCCCGAGAACCAGAAAACCATCTACTAACCAGCCCAAGCAGAGCCCCCTCCGAGAACACCAAGCCAGCCAAACTGATAAAAATGGCTAAAGGCGAGGAGGACCAGGCCGGCGCGAGCCCCGACGAGAAGGACAGAAAGATCGCAGCCCTCCAAGCGCAGCTAGAGGAAGCCAAGCGCGCGACTGGCGGTGTCTACGAGTTCCAGGCGTCTGTCGAAGAGTACCTTCGCGAGATCCGAGAGCTGAAGAGCAAGCTCCTGGAGACAGAGCTGCAGGCCGAAGTTCTGTGTCAGAGAGCCCGCTTGCTGACATCCAAGAAGTGAGGGCCCTGCCGGGGAGCGATGTGTGCTGGGATCATGGGGTGTATATGACATGGCAGTATATGCCCCCTAACCTAGAGAACAGAGGAACTGCTTCCGGGGACGATAAGCAATGGCATTGCGGGTAGCTCTTGTAGTTCCAGTACAATCTACCGGCACAACAAGAAGAATTGTGATTACCCGAGTTCTTGCTAGGTGTCTCGTGATCGGACTGCTTAATGGCTTTGGACTCAGATAACTGGGATGACCGATAAGTAAATAGCCCATTTGTATATAGATGGACTAGGTAGAACAACCTCCCTATTTTGCCCCCCTCACTCAGGATGTGTACATCGTGGTATTTGGTCTATTCTCCCGCATGTTTACCAGGTACATCTACGCGGAAGAGGTCAGAAAACTATAGACTAGACCTACGTCCCACGAAAACTGGTTTTTCATGGAACAGCATAAATGAAATATAAGTTCTCACTTGCCTCCTAGTTGGTTCATAGGAAAGTTGCCCGTAATGGGATGATGGTATGTCAAAATTTGTCTTTCTCCCTCGACCAAAATAGACCCCATAAAGGCACTCACACCTAATAAGGACTCGTTTTTGACCCCCCCCCCCCCCTTTTTTTTTTTTTTTTTTTTTTTTTTTTTTTTTTTTTTTGATGCCTTGTCGTCTTTCCCACAGCTATATAGTATGTACTACTTCGGGTGTATCATCTTGAGGAGGCGTTAAAGCATATCATAGGTACCTAAGTACGATACGCGAGCTCAAGTCTTTATTACTTTTTACTTTTCCCTGCCCAACTCCCGTCAAAGCTTGTCAAGACGCGGGGACATCTGTTTTTTCTTTCTTTCTTTCTTTTTCGCCCCATTCGCCTGATTTTCTGATCCAAGTTACCAAGCAATACTAGCTATGCACACGGGAGGCTGCGTGCGCATGGATGGGGAAGCCCGCCCGCATGGGCACAGCGTACCCCTAGGTAGCTAGACCTAGGTTAGACAGCTTGGCTTCACCCCCAGACCCCAGAATACAAAAACCACGGGGTATAAGCAAGGAGGAGAAAACTGGACCCCCTTTGTCCTCCCCCCCTTTCCGGGGAGAGAGACAGAGAGAGAGGGGAGACCTTACGGCTAGCAACAGGGAAGGAAAGGGGGGGGGGGGGGGGGATAGGGAAAAAAAGCGACATATGCATGACGCACACGACAGTCCGGTCCTAGCCAACGAACGACCTACGATACGGGCAGAATGCGACATCGTTGTTGGGAATATATATTAACTCTCTGCTACGTTCTCCATAAAGTTACCTATCTATGCTGTGTGAGGCCATCTTACCCCGCGTGGCAGCTACCTAGGTTAGACAGCTCCCCCCGGACTCTGGGGTTTGCCTCTCCCCATGGAAGAGGAGTAGTGATAATAGAATAGCAGCAAACAGAGAAGCATATATAGCGCAGGAGGTTATGCATATTACCCCAAGTATACATACATCCTGGGAGCTCGTGAAGTCCACAAGAGAGACACATAAAAAAAAGGAGTAAAACGATGGATGCATAAGTGGAGTGTTAACGATCTAACTAATACATATTCTAAGGCATACTGCTTTTCGGAAACCTCCATCACGGTTGGCTAATATATATATATCTGGAATAGGGGACCTAAAAAGTGAAGCTTGTAACTTGGCTTAACGACTCAGACAACAAGACATAGCCTAGGTAGTTAGTATAATAGTAATGTTACTGCGCAGTGTCGCTTCAAAGGGACAATAAATCGGAGTTCTAACGAGTAAAACACGATGATACAAACGGATGGCCTAGGCCCCTTCCCTGATTCGCCCGTTCTCCACGAAGAGACCGTGACCTAAACAACAGTTGGTCGGCCCATCTACTACCCAACCGAATCACGAAGCCTATGATAATCGACACACATGCAGACACAGACACACACACACACACACACGTATTTAATTCTCTCCTTTTCCACATATACGAACGATTGATAGCAAGAAAGCTGGCCGGTTCAAAGACTAAATACAAAAAAGCCCAAGCATGATATCTCTCATTTGCGCCATGCAGCTATAAAACAACAACAAGACATAATATCATTCAAAAGCCGGCTCCGTTATGATTTTGCGTAAAACAAACAGCTTCCAGGAATCCAAGTCCCTCCCCTCCTTTCCCCCCTTTCCGCTTCCTTTCAGCCTCGCCACGTGTCAGTGACATACATACATACATACATAGCACACATACACCATTTCAAACATACATCCCATCCACCCATACACACATGCCCCAAATAGCACACATACACACGCGCGCGCACGTATGTATGTATGTACCTATACGCACAAAGCATGCGCATGCATGCACACACACGAGAGATAAACGACTGGTAGGTGACAACCTACCATAGATAATGTGTGCATCCAAACACTAATCGTCGTGCCCAACCAACTCCATCCGTACGTCGCACACTCATCATAAAACGTTATTGAGAGAGGGGGGAGGGGGCAAAAAATGATGCAACGTTCAAGGGGAGGTGGGTAGTTGGATAGGTATATATGTATGACTCTTCATCACCTCCGCATCTCCCCATCCGTCCACCGATCTGTTCACCCATCCGCCTGTATGAGAAACGAGTGATCTGGGGATCTGGGGTGATCCGAGAAAGAGGGGAGGACAAAACCAAGCCAAGAAAGAAACATGAGAAAGTCGCTGTTTAACCCGAACCACCACAAAAGAACTTCCCGATACCGAAACCCTTTGACCTCGACTTGGATCCGGAAGACGACGAAAACCGACCGAATGACCGACGTGGGATATGCGAATGCGAATGCGGCAATGACGACGACAACACTACCGGCGCTGCCCCTCCTGTCTTGTTTCCTTTCCCTTTTGTTGTTTGAACAAGGATTAGGCTCCAGTCAGTTTTTTCCACCAGCTACTTCGAGGCGTCTCTGTGAACAACGAATCCCGGGCTCCCTTCTCACCTCCGCTGCCGTCAGAATTGCCACGGCGATCTCTGCGTTCTCGCTCTTCGCGACGTGCCCGCCGCCGCCGCTGGTCGTCCTCTACTTCGGCTTCTGCGTCGCCGTACTTAGCTCGTCGTCGGGCCCGGCGCTCCGCACGGCGGGCCTCTTCATCGTCCGTTCCTTGGGGCGCCTCTGCGGCGTGACCGTCATCGGGAGGGGGTCCGGCGTCTGAGTGTTCCTTGACCCACGAGCTCGTGCCCGAGTGTGGCCAGGCCACGTTCTTCCTGCGCTCGTCAACTGTATGCCTGGAGGTCCTTTCTTGAGAATACCCATAATCATCAACGACAGGCGCGGATCGTCGATAACCAGGTTTCTCCTCAGTACGTCTAGCGTCCCGTCTTCGTCTCCGTTCCTCGTCATCCCCGGAAGCGTCCACATATCGCGAACGACGTCGCTCGTGACGAGCAGCCTGGCGAGCTTCCGCCTCGGCATCTGCATATCCGACGGCAGGGGCAGATTCTCTTTCCATCCGGCGAAGTCGACGTCGTTCGGCCCTTTCGGCTTCTCTTGCTTCAGCTTCTTCAATAGCACGGCGCTCGGCTTCGCGGGCCGCCTTCCTTTCCGCTCGTCTTGCTTCGCGCTCCTCTTGTCTCCGCGCCTCAGCTTCTTCCTCTTGCCGTCGACGCCTGTCGCGTTTGGAATCATCCTTTGCCCGGCGGGCATCTTCGGCAGCCTTTTCCTCCGCCTTTCTTGCTCGGCGGGCGGCACGGCGTGCTTCACGGTCTGCATCCATATCAGGTTCGATAATACCGCTCTGTCGGTAAGCATGCTTCACTCTCTTTTCCGGCCTTCTCTCCTCATCTGTAGTATGATACGTGCCCTGACGTGTTGGTCCAGAGCGAGGATTCCTAGGGTCATGGGTTTCGTCTTCTGGAACATGATCATAATACGTGTGATGACGACGAAGTTCAGGGTGATCTGGGTCCCTATTGCTGG